GTATAGAACCAAGGTCTCAAAAAATGCTACCTCATCTGTAATATTAAGCTAATTAAGTATCCTATATCATAACCTAAGCATTACTTCAACTTCATTGGATTTATACCTGCTTAAATTTAAAAAAAACAGAGTGAATTTTCTCTGATAAGGCAGCAATTTACCTTAGTGGATGGAACAGTTAATATATACAGCTTCCTAGAGTGACTAAATTCATGACAGCCTGATAGGAGAATACTGTTATGAATGGAAATCTGTCCAAAGCCTTCCTGTTCAAAGTGTGGTACGTGGGCCAGTGGCATATGCAATGAGGAGCTTGTTGGAAGTGCAGACTCATCCTCCAGTCCACCACCTACTGAATCAGAGCCTAGATTTTGACCAGAAACCTCCGTGTAATTTGTGTACATGTTAAGTTTATAGTTGTCAACAAGATAGTTAGTTGTAAATTAGATTCACCTTTGATCTGAAACAAATATAAACCCAACAAGTAGGGATGATGTGTATAGTCTGAAAATATTAATAAATGATAAAAGTTGAAAGTTACATGAAATCTATGAGAAGTTAGAAATGTTGGAAAGAAATAATATAAAAATATCTCAGAAAATGCAAACTAATAGTTATGCAAAAAATATTCTGTAATACATAGTATTTGGAAAAATTGAACATAGAAAACATCACGACACATGTGATGTGGGATGATGGTAGACTACAAACCAGAAATTAATCAGTAATAGATCACAGTGGTCACTGTTCTATGGCCAATTTTATTCTTTAGAGATTTTCTTAAAAGCATAGCATAGTTGAGGCTTGTGTGCTTCTCACGCAGTTAGTAATACTGTTTGCTAGAAAGATAAACCAGAGGGTGTTCAGAGATGGGCTAGAAGATTGATTATGGCATAGGAAGAACTGATTTATGAGGAGAGAAAAATAATTAAATGGGCAGCACTATGCTATAAAAAGAGCCTATGGAGACATGGATATTTATCTAATGTCTCTAGTGCTGTTTCCCGTAGTATCTATATGAAAGATGCAGAACTGTAAGGATATAAGAATGCCAAGAAATTGGTTGCAGAGCAAAGCAGTATCAGCTAGAATTACTTGATTAAATTAGGAACAATAGCAAATATTATATTTCAGAAAATTTTACCTGGTGCCTAAGAAATGACCTTGAACCAGATGACTTTATCCCTGAGAACTTTTGCAAAACTGTGGGCAAAGAGTGGAAAATTATTTATCAAGTTGCTGAACAGTCTCCCCAGAAATAATTGGAACCCCATCTCTTGAAAATTCCAAGATTAGGGTAGAGAAAATCTAGGGTGCGGCATGTGGGAACTGTCTCCACTTCTGGCAGAGACCTGGTGATTGATGAGTACCATTTTTCCATGTCACTCATTTCTTTTGCAATATCTTTGATTATTGCAGATATTACCATACATAGATAATTTTTTTTGTCAGGTTGGTACCTTATTTAGTTAAAAATGCTACCTTCTATAAAAGCATCTAGAGCATATCGCTTGTCTGACCTCTACCGTGTCTGCCTCCTTGGCACCTAGCGACATTCCTTTTTCATTTCTCTCAGTCTGTCACTCATTAGGAGATGCAATTCATTACATTGCAGAAGTGAATTTACTTCCACATTCACTTGATTCAGAAAACAAAAAAGACAAGCCCCAAATGCATCTCGACTTTTGGAACCCTTTTTCAAATAGATGCAGAAACTCTGAATGTCCGAAATCATCCAGCGCCTTAGAGAGTTTAGTGATTCTTTTCACTAGGATGAAAACCCAGTTTGTGTTTGCCAAGGAGCAGTGGTCTGAGAATATGACATTTCCTTTTCCCTCCCTCAGTACACTTCCCCCCCATCCCCTAGTGAAATCTATCATATGAACAGGGAAGTCCAGAATCCTGATTCCATGGTTCAAAAAGGAAGTAAAGCACAATAAAATTGAAGCAGGATATTTTCCTTGACATCTTTGTAGGCGGGAACTGGAGCACAGGTGATGGAGCTAGCTGGCTATTTCGGCGCTGGCAGGGGCAAACTCAAAACAGGCACCTCCTGCTGTTGGTGTGGGGGTGGTTGCGGCACCTCTAAGAAGAGATGGAAATCATATTGTTCTGAATTGCTTATCTGATTGCTGGGCCAAATGCTCATTCTACTTAGTAACATTTCTGCAGTTTGTAGCAAAACCCTTAACATTATAAAATAACAGATAGGAGCCATTTCAAACCATAAAGGAAGAAAGGAAAGATACCACAGAAAAGTCTGGAGGCGGGGTTCTTAGCCAACCACCCATTAAATCTGGGACTGGGTCCAGTCCAGGGGCCTTCCAGCAACACTGAGGAGTGGCCTTGGCCCGATGCCTTCAGTTGCCCCAGGACTTTATTCTGGTCCCACATGGTGACTAAACCTCCGTGAAGGGAAATAGAGCCAACATTCCTTTCACCTGAGGGAAAGAGAGAGATGACAGGGTTGCATCCTGTCCTCTGCAAGGGTCATAGCTCAGAGGAAAGTCTGAGGACAATAAGAAATAGATCTGCATTTTACTCACCCTTCTGATGTATCCTAGGCAGGTTCCCAGAGGAAGATCCTGGGCGGGCCCCCAGTTTCCCTGACCCCTTCATGGGCGGGAACTGGAATGTGAGTGCTGGAGCTAGCCAGCCGCTTCAGCGCCAGCAGAGGTGAACTTCACTCACTCGAACCAGCTGCACCCAACCCCTCATGGGAGGGAACATGCAGGTGAGTGGGTGCAGGACCTGGCAAGTGCTTTTGGGCACTGGCAGGAGCAAAACTCCATGCAGGCCCCACCGCAGCATTTAGTGGGGAGTGCCTGTAGCCCCCAAAGCCCTAGAAGGAGTGTTACAGTCTGCCCTCTTTTATCTTTGCCATCTGTGGGTGGCTTAAATATTAACAGCTCAGTGGAGGGTCACCCTTTTGGCACCTGAGTTCTTGTCTGGCATTCAGGAGGAATGAAGTCACACAAACAAGTTGAAGATGATAATTGTGGGGGATTTTATTGCCAGTGAAAGTGGCTCTCAGCAGAAAGGGGAGCTGGAAAGGGGATGGGGTGGGGAGGTAATCTTCCCCTGAAGTCTGGCCGTCACCCACCAGACTCCTCTCTGAAGCTATTCTGTCAAGCCATCCCTCTGAAGTCAAGCCACTTCTCTCCAACTGTAGTCTCTGACATCTAGCTGCTGCTTCTCCTCTTGATGTTCAACTGCTTCTCCCCTCTGCTGGCTGGGTCAGGGGTTTTTATGGGTACAGGATGGGGGGTGGGGTGGGTCATGGGTGGTTTTGGAAAAGTCAACATTCGAGCATAAAACAGGAATGTATGTTCTCACTTTGGGCTGCGGTGGCAGGCTTGAGGGTGGGACCCTCACTGGGACCCACCTTCTTCCCAGAATTTCCTGCCTCCTGCCCCTATCAAAATTATTTAATATTCTCTTTCTTTGCTTCATTTTTTTCTGCTAATTCCTTCAGACTCACATTCACATTGTCTGGGAAATCTACTTTAAGTGCTGCTAAGAATAATTCATATCAAATACGTTGACTGAGATGTTAGATATACTTCATTATGCTGGTGTCTGGGAAGGTTTGCCAAATGTAACTATTAAGTCACACTAACTAAAATAATTTAGGTGCTCCATAAATGAACTGTGCTTTTTTCGTTGATGATTTTTTTTTTCCCCCGAGATGGAGTCTTGCTCTGTCGCCCAGGCTGGAGTACAGTGATGCAATCTCAGCTCACTGCAATCTTCACCTCCCAGGTTCAAGCAATTCTCCTGCCTTAGCCTCCCAAGTAGCTGGAACTACAGGCATGTGCCACCACGCCCGGCTAATTTTTGTATTCTTAGTACAGACAGGGTTTCACCATGTTGGCCAGGCTGGTCTCGAACCCTTGACCTCGTGATCCGCCTGCCTCGGCCTTCCAAAGTGCTGGGATTACAGGCATGAGCTACTGTGCCTGGCCCTGATGATTTTTTTTTAATTAAAAAAAAGGAGAATTTCTGAAAACTAAAGCAGTACATTGTCATAACAAAATTAACAATAATTTTTTATTTAATAATAAATGTGTAATTTTATTTATATGATTTTTTTATAAATAAAATTAAACAATAATTTTTATTATTTATGACAATGTACCTTCTTTAGTTTTAAGAAATTCTCACTGCTGATATCAAAATGTTATAACTCCTTTCCTTCTTAAAAGAGATCTGAAAGGAATAAAAAGGTTAGGATTACATTCTGCTATTATGTACATAATGCAAAGATGATCTCCTCTATATTCTGTTTTTGTGAAAATGACTCTAACAAATTGCCAATATCTTACATATGCAAATAACAACTGTCTTCAAGGTAAAAATTAATTGAGGGAAAAAAATTAATAGGTTAGAATCTTACTCTTTCTTTTATTGCTTCCTGACTGTTATACCTACTAAAGGAATGTGGGGTGGGAGGGGGAGTCTTTTTCTTTCTAAATCATTCTACTAGTGTTATATTGATTTTCTCTCAAGTACACCCTGTGGTCTCAGATGATCACATATTTTCTTACGTTACTCATATTGATACAGCACCTTGGCTTATGGGTTGACATATATTACTTGAGCTATGATGACACTGCCCACCATTGACATTTCCTGGTGGTAGGGTGTACTGAGCCTCTTATGCATGAAACATAAGGGAACAGGCTGTTTCACAACAGTATTTTCGTTCTTTGAAAATCAATTATTGTTCACCCCAAATGATATCCGAAGCCCCTGTCAGTGTTGCTTCACATTGTTTGTTACCCCTACAGCAATGTCTTGAGTTCTTTTGTGTCTTTGCTGATACAGAATAAAAGTTACTCATCTGGGCATCAAAATATTCCAGTTATACTGTTTGTAAGAAAGTCTGTATTATTCCCTGCCTGGAAGAATACAGGTAACCTACCTATATGCTGTTGCTTTCTCTCTTTCTTTCTTTCTTACCTTTGTATCTCTTCTCATCTTGCTTCCCTCTGTTTCAGCTAGCTGTGAGGTGGTTGGAACACAACTGCCACTACCAGCACATGGACGAGCTCCTGCAATACATCCGCTTTGGCCTAATGGATGTGGATACTCTCCATACAGTTGCCCTGTCCCACCCCCTTGTCCAAGCAAGTGAGACTGCAACAGCCCTTGTCAACGAGGCCCTGGAATACCACCAGAGCATCTATGCACAGCCCGTCTGGCAGACTCGCAGGACCAAACCACGGTTCCAGTCAGACACTCTGTATATCATTGGTGGGAAAAAGCGCGAGGTCTGCAAGGTCAAGGAACTTCGGTACTTCAATCCCGTTGATCAGGAGAATGCTCTCATAGCCGCCATTGCCAACTGGAGTGAGCTGGCTCCCATGCCTGTGGGAAGGAGCCACCATTGTGTGGCAGTCATGGGGGACTTCCTGTTTGTGGCTGGAGGGGAAGTTGAGCATGCCAGTGGCCGGACGTGTGCCGTGAGGACTGCCTGTCGCTATGACCCCCGCAGTAATTCCTGGGCAGAGATAGCACCCATGAAAAACTGCCGGGAGCATTTTGTGCTGGGTGCCATGGAGGAATACCTCTATGCAGTTGGGGGCAGAAATGAACTACGCCAGGTTCTACCTACAGTTGAGCGATATTGCCCCAAGAAGAACAAATGGACTTTTGTTCAGTCCTTTGACAGATCCCTTTCATGCCATGCTGGATATGTGGCTGATGGTCTTCTTTGGATATCAGGTAGAACACACCTCACGTTGGATTTATCAAAACACACTTTCATTGTGGTATACATTTAAAAGTCAAGCTTGAATAGTGTGGCCATGTGTAATTGAAAGATTGAAACAAGCGTGCCATTTTAGCTAATTAACATTCATTTATTGAGCACCTACTCTAGAGAGCAATGTGATTGGAAATAATGTGACTTTCTGTGACTTTCTGAGTGATTAATGGAATAAAAATTCAAGGTGGAAATTGTTGGTCCATCACAACTGTTTTTTTCTACCAGACCTTCTCCTGTCAGCTCTTGATTATTCATGGATTATATTGCACAGCTTGTGGTTTATCTAGATCCTTTGCTTTTTCTTTCACCCCTGGCTGCCTGACTAGAGCCATTTCATCAAAGACAAGGCAAGAGAAGTAAAAGCCCAGTTAATCAATTTTTCTGGGTATAGCAATAGGTATATATCCAAATAATCACTATGCTGTGCATTGAGGGAGGGGATTTAAGTTAACAAAACAAAGTTGTTGTTGTTTCAGATAGGGTCTCACTCTGTTACCCAGGCTGGAGTGCAGTGGTGCCATCTCGAATCATTGCAACCTCCACCTCTCAGGCTCAAGTGATCCTCCCACCTGAGTCTCCCAAACAGCTGGGACTACAGGAGTCCAGCACCACACCCAGCTAATTTTTGTATTTTTTGTCAAGACAGGGTTTCACTACATTGCCTGGGCTGCCCTCGAACTCTTGAGCTCAAGCAATCCACCAGTCTTGGCCTCCCAAAGTGTTGGGATTACAGGCGTGAGCCACTGCGCCCAGCCTAAAACAAAAAATTTTTTAAAAATTATCTGTGAATGGTAATTACTTGTGCCGTTCTAACCCTTCATTCCAATTTACTTTCCCATTTTTACTGATGGTACAGTTTGAGCTCTAGTTTACCTTTCATCTCTTGAAAACCTTTGATTATGGAAAGAGTAGGGAGACTAGAATAATCAACCCCATCTACCGACAACCCAGAATCCACAGTTAACTACTCCTTGCCAATCTTGTTTTCTCCACACCCACAGACCCTTCACACCCCTCTGGGCTGCCTTTTGGCTTATACAGAAGGAGTCTGTGAGGCATATGGCTATCAACATCACATTATCAACCCGTGTTTTCAATCTTAGTTTTGAGAAGGGCCCCAAGTGTTCTCCTTTGAAAGGTTTTTCTATCAGGAAGAAAGCTGAATTTTCTCCCAATTGGAAGATACTCGTATTGTAACCCAAATGGAGCTTGTTGGATTTCTATGTCATCAAGCACTAAGAGGAATAGAAAGGGTCAAAAACTTAAATATTAAGAATAATCCTGATGTTTGTCCTTAGAAGAAATCATTACCTTTAAGTACACCTGCAAAGGCTTCTCAGCTTTCCTCAATAATCATCTCTAGTGTTCTAACACCTGCTCTGACAAAATTCTCCCTTGCACTTCTTTAAACTAAATTCATTTGGACTTTGAGTGTTTGTTCTTCTGCTGTCCTCAATAACCAGGAAGACAGTCACAGGCTCAGCTTCTCTGAGTGGTGCCTCAGTTATTGGCAACTCACTGATTTTTATTGACAGAACCTAGCTCACATCAGAGTTTAAGTGCTCAATAAATTAATGAATGAAGACTAGGACTAAGGAAGCAGATAGATGAAAAGGATCCAACATTTACTGGCTCTATACCAGAGAAACATTAGAAACAAGTATGTATGTTAGTATATGTAGATATATTTAAATTAAAACCTCATTTATCTAATTACTGTTCCTTTTTCTTTAAATATATATGTCAGGAGTTAATAACCACCAGGACTATATTATTTTAGCTGTGCTGAAGAAATTTCAAGCTAGGCAGCAAATAAGTCTTTGCTAATAGAAGGAACAGATCTGTACTTGTCTTGGATGGCAAAACAACAATGGGTTTATGAAATCAATGCCATTTATGTTTTCTCCCATTGAGATTCCTTCCATTGACTCATTTAGTTTCACATATTATTAAAATACTGTATTCCTAAATTTTGCACTGCATTTTCTAAATTTTGTATGAATTTCTCATAAATATTTGAATAAATATTCCTTGTGTTTTGGCTGTAAACCTAGCTTGTAAAAGAATGCTGGGTTTTCCCTTACATAGTCTTAAAGATATCATGATTTAATACCTTCTTTAGTGAGGCCTTAAGAAAGCACAGAAGCTCCTCTTAGACTCGCTAGATCCGTTGTCCTGGTATCAAGTTGACTTCCCTTTCAATATGGGTCTACATGTTTCCTTTTCCATTTTATTAAATCTATCAACTTATTACAGATCCTTATTGCTGTCTCACTTTGTTTTTCTCCTACTGTGAAAGGAAATACATTTTCTTTGTTCTTGTTTTGCACTAATATATGCTGCCTGTGTTAACCATACTTAATGAAAACAATCACAATTTTCTCAGGTTTGTTTCTCCCTACTGTGTACTTGAGATGAGAAACTCACTTTGCTGTGTACAGTACAATGCCTTTAATTGGAAAGAAGAGGAAATCGCCAGTGACATTTCTAATGCCTTCAGTCGTCTGCCTCTTTCCTCAGGCCCAGCTTATAATAAATCAATTGTGAATCTAACCATGAATAGGGAGGGGTGACTAGATTTGCTAATGGGCCCCTTAACAAAAATACAGGTATAGTTCACCCTGCCTATCACTGAGTTGGGAGTGTAACCTGATTTATTGGAGCAGATGCAAATGTTTGAGGCTATCCCTTATCCTTTACCAAATAATCATGTATTTCCAATTTAATTGATGGGGGCATCCTTCTGGTATTTTGCAAACTTTGCCTGAGGTGGGGGTAGTATGGATTATAGAAGGTGGATTTTAGGGTCTTGGTTCTGTTCTCTAGAACACAGAATGAATGTTTCTTTAAAGACTTGACATTTCCAGCATGCTCATTCCCTCTCCACACCTCTCCCCCATTTCAGTCCCTTTTGGGGTCAGGAAATCTTGAAACCTGTTTATAGTTTTTAAAGTATGACAAGCAGAAAGGAATTCAGAAAATCATGCTGTATGTACATATCCATTAGCATTTAATTAAAGATGTTAGAGTCGAATTTTACAGGCTCCTGTAGCGTTTGACATTGTGACCCAATTCACAAGTTTTCCGTACCATTCTGATTTGAAATTCACAGTATCAAAGTAAAATAAGCACTTAAATATCCTACAGCTGTATTTTTAAAATATATGCTCTCTGTTGGAAGGTATACTTTGTGAACTACTAAAAAACCTTTTTTTGTGTGTGAGGGAAAATTAATACTGAGCTCATCTTGAAGAATAGCTTATTTTTTTCATTTTCATCAAATGATAACAAAATAAGAGGCTAACTGCAAAGTTAGTGCTTTAAAACTATAAAAATAAGACAAATGTTACTGCATTTGCTCAAAAGCAATATTAAGTGCTTTCTTGATTCTCTTGGTGAGTGTCACACCCTTGTAAAGGATAGTGCTGAGTCACAGATACATGAAATTCATTTAGCAAACATACTTCCTGCCCTCTAGGAGCTGGCAATCAAATAATTTTTCAGATATTTCGTTAATGAAAGGACATTTGTTAAACCTTCTTTAACTCCCTAGAAGCTATGTGTATTTTCATCTTGATTAAATTTATATGAAGTTTGCATTGCCCCATTTTAAATAACTTTAATTTATTCAAAGCTACTAATAGGACTTGGGTTTTTCTAGTATTAATTAAAATAATGTAAAATTTTATTAACATTTAAAAATAGAATTGCCTTATCTTTATGCAGATATTGTTTTACTTACATCTTGAGAACTGTAGACAAAGCCGGGTGCAGTGGCTCACACCTGTAATCCCAGCACTTTGGGAGGCGGAGGAGGGTGGATCGCCTGAGGTCAGGAGTTCAAGACCAGCCTGGCCAGCATGGTGAAACCCCATCTCTACTAAAAATACAAAAATTAGCCGGGCGTGGTGGCAGGTGCCTGTAATCCCAGCTACTTGGGAGGCTGAGACAGGAGACTTGCTTGAACCCGAGAGGTGGAGGCTGCAGTGAGCCAAGGTCATACCACTGCACTCCAGCCTGGGCAAGAAGAGCGAACCTGTATCTCACAAAAAAAAAAAAAAAAAAAGAAAAAAGAATTGTAGACAAAATATTGGGAACTAAAAGCAGGCATAGCAGAGCCTGAGTTGTGGTACACTGGGACCACAGACTGTGGTCACACACACAAAAAACTTGTGCTGCATTTTTTATCCATCATGAGATGCTGAGCTAAAGTTCCTAACCTCTCCAAGTCCTGTTCCGGGATAGTGCTGGAGCATTAAAGTAGCATATAGTAGAGGGAACAGACTTTCAAACAGGTAATTAGAGGGTGACAGCAGAAGTCTTTCCAAGGTACAAAAGTAGTGCAAAGCATGGAGTGACTATTGCAGAAGGCATGAAAGGTAGCACCTAAAATAATTGAGGAATTATTTTAACCCTGAAGGTGCCTAACTTAGCTTCAGGTCCATTGGCTACTTTCTATTATCCATTAACTCCTCCCTGTCCTCATACTTGAACTTCATGGTCCAATCACTTCAATAATTATCTTGTCCTCTGGGAAACATGCAGTGTTTGACAAACCCAGTGATCTGCTTGGTCTGTGTCTGTACCTAGGCGGCTCTGCCTGTGGGAGGACAATCAGCAGGAAGGCTTGATATGGGTATATTCTCAGCACATCACGCACAGTGGCACTCTCAGCCCTCTCTATACCCTACTGCTGCTCTCTCACACCTTTCCTTCACTGGCTGGAACTTCTTCACTTTCCTCAGAACCCCCTCTTCTCAGACTCAGAGAGAAGATCTTGCCTTTGGTTTCTCAGAGCAAATGTAAGTGACATAATAGGAGGAGGAGGCAGAGAGTGTGACAAGAGAGATGGATAAGAGTTTGTCTGGAGAGGAGCTAAGGGCAGAAGTTTGGGAAACAGTAGCAAGGAGGGTGCAGGGTTAGCAGGTACTAAGGAAGGAGCCTGAGAATGTGGAAT